AAACTTTTTTTTGCTGTTTTGCTGTCTCCCAAAAAAAGTTTTTTTTCCTTAAGAACTACTGAATGTTTTAACGCTTTGTAAATTATAGTTTTTGTACACATATTTAAACATAAACAAAACATATTTTAATTGTAAATTGGTGTTTGTATTTTGTGCTGAATTTTAAATCTGATGATGGCGCTGTTGTCTCGCCGAAAGCCAGGAAAGAAAAAATATAATAACAATTACACGCAGTCAGGAAAATAAATCAAAATTTCAACTTAGGTAATGTGTGCTAAAGTTTTACTAATAGCAAAAAAATTTCTAGATAAGTATCTTTGGATAATATTTATATTCTATTCTTAAGAATAAATTTAACACAGGGTTTGTCTCGTTACTCTAGCGCGTATTTGTATCTCGCTACAATTTAAATTCAATATAGATGTATGTTATTACTTACTTAATCCAAAGAACATAAAAAATGTTGCTGTACAAATATTGATTCTCTTAACGTTTCGGTTAGAAGCGTAATTCTTCATCGCTCTCTCTACATAAGAGTATTCCTTTAAAATATTTTGCCACCTCGTTGCTAGATACATAAAATGAATTGAAGCAAACGAATTGAAAATATAGAAGCTTACTATCGCTGAAAGAAAAACAGACGCTATCAATTTTAGTTTTAATATTATTTTATAGTTATTACTTACATGTTTCATCGATCATAAACCCATTGAGGGCCAGTTTCACGATTGACGCGATTCCAGTAGCAAAAACACAACCGAAATGAGCAAGGGCATATAAAAATCTAAAACTCATAAAAGAGAACTTAACTTCTTGGGCGTTCTTGCTGATGTTGTGTAGAGGCATAATCCCAAAACACTGGGACAGTATTAAAGCAAATCGAATGTTTTCGTAAAAAATATGGGGCCTGTTGTACATTTGGATATTATTCACATTATTTTCTTCGATGGTCAATGTGGTATCCGAATTAATTTTTCGCAAAACCCTCATTTTGGTACGAGAAAAATTGTAGAAAACGCTTTTCACCATTGAATGGAACAACAATACAGACACCTTGTCAATCCTGTTAATGGTTGTTTTTCTGATCTTATCTGAATGCTCTTATGTTTGACTATGATTACATTAATGAAAAATCTACCTGATGTATCGACGTTTAAGGTAAACAGGGTTTGAGGAGATTCGGGGGTTTCTGTTTGACAGGTGATAATATCGAACAATACTGGATGCATTAATTGACTGTAAATATACCTTATAATTGTTACACTATTAATAATTCTATAAATAAATAAGTTTAATAGACTAGTGAAAGCGAATTTTTATAATAGGTCAAATTCCCTTGGTCAGTTAAAGGAGAAAAATTAGAGCTATACTTCTCAATAAATCTTTATTTTGTATGTAATAACACAGTTGGTCACAGAATGTAAAGTTTTTTGGTGGCCAAATTCTAATCGATCATCTTTCTCAGTGCGTCAGACGCTTGTGCATCGATGCTGTCCAGTTTCCCCTGCAAGGCATTTTTATTTAATAATTTGTTGAAGTATATTGTGGTTTGGATAGTGCTTTTTACTTTGCCTTTTGCGGGTTTCTTCATGACGAATTTTTCTGTTGTGGTTTGGAATCTACACAGAAGGGGTTGTGGAATAACCGGCATGCCCTCATTCATGCTGTACCAATACAATTTCATTTGTCGCAAAAGTAATTATTGTTGCAGTGTAAGCCATCATTCGGGATAAGCAAAGCAAGACCTGTGTGTGTGTTCTTGCATCGCTTGGTCTGTAAATGTAATTATAAAAGTAAAAAATATACAATTTTAAAATATTCTCAGACTGTTAGATAGTTGATTTATATATGATCTTCTTATCAGTGGCTAATTAAAAGGCTGAAGCTTTCGGAAATACAAAACAGTTCAGAACTATTAACAAGTTTCATTCTATAAACTCATGAGGACAGTTTCTTTTCAGCTCGAACATATTTTATTGTAAAGTACTTTACATACTCTAACTAAGGTTCAACAAAATTTCTAAAAAAATAAGCTGAACAGGGTAAAAGAAAAAATTGAAATATAAAAATTTTACATAGTCACGTTTTTTAAATCGAACATTTTATGAATTTTTTGACAGAGCGATAGGACTTATTTTCTTCATTTCATTTTTCTTCATTCATTTCTTGATTCATTTTTGTTATGCGTTTTTTTAATATTGCGTTTTAATTGCGCGTTAGTATACGTAATCAAATTGACTATATAACCGTCTCCAAAAGATTTCGCAATGCTATCAACGCCGTTAAAGCATACCCAGGTGCAGAAGTTGCGTCAGACCACAATCCATTGATTTGTAAGTTTGAAACAAAACAAAAAAGGACATCGAAAACCCAAAATAGCATCAAAATAGATATTCGAAGGCTCAGGAAAGGCGCAGTTAAACAGGAAGTAAATGAAGAACTGTAAACCGGATTAGAAAATATAGTGGCAACCGCAGAAAAACCCCTACAAAGATGGAACAGAATCGCCCATGGTAATAGAAATATCAGTGACAAGGACGTAAAAATATACATGTGAAGATCAGAGACGAATACTCATCAGAGACGAAAAATTAAAATATGGAACAATACAATATGGTTCAGTACACACGACAGTAAGCAAGGAAATCAAAGCTGCAAAAAAGGAATGACTGGTAGAGAAATGTAACGAGATTGGGCAACTAGACAGAATGCATGATCATTTAAATACACACAGAAAGATAACGGAAATGACACATTCCAGGAAGAAAACCACCCAAGAACCTCTAGTAGACTTAGATGGTAAACGTATAACAGAAATGACAGATAAGCTAAAGAGGTGGAGACAATATATTCAAACAGCATTTTCAGATGATAGGCCAGAACATTCCAATGTTGACCGATCTGACGAAAGCTCGCGTAGAGCTGATAATAATATTATGCTACAGTAATACGGACTTCCTCAAATCTCTGGAAGGAATCTTCAATCTCATCTATGATACCGGAAAACTACCTCTGAGGACTGGTGGGTGCCTTCTTTCATTACCTTCCTTAAAAAACTTCGAGCTAATGCCTGCAACCAATACAAACCCATTAGTCTCATTAACCACATCGTCAAGGTGTTCACCAAGATCAATCACAACAGAATATACGGAAAATGTGACTGGCACACAAGTGAATCTGCATTTGGCTTTAGAAGTGCCCTGGGAAACAGAGAGGCAATCTTTTCATTGCGCGATGTGTACGCATGTTTATAGATTTGTCAAGGGCTTTTCACAGAGTGAAACACACAAGGTTGGTAGAAATAATGAGGGAAGTAGGCCTGGACAACCAAGTAGGCCTGGGTAACACTGTGTTGAGTTGCGCTATTGAGTTCTTGCCGCTCTCTGAGTTACCGAGTTATAACTCATCGGTTAATGAGTTATAACTCATTCATTTAAACATGGTCATAAACAAAAAATATGTTTTGTCTATTTTTAAGTTATGTTTTAATTTAGTATATCGACACAATAATTTAAAGAATATTTCATATTCCGGGTACATTTATTAGTGCATTTTTCGATCGTGAATTAAAAAATTATTAATTCTCTCTAACAACGCTTTTCCCGAGTATACCCTCCTTGCATAGACAATAAATTTCAAACAACCTTAATCATAATACAACCAACATTTAGTAGATTGAGGTCGGGAGAGCTAAATGCTCTTCCTTACCAATACCACGGTTAGGAAATATAGTATTTAAATAATTTCAAACCAGGAGTCTGAAATAATGTTGATGTAAGGTTTGGTATCGATTATTCTAAGTAATATCATCCAATATTTTACTCAAATTTTCTGCCAAAAACTGCAAATATTTGTTTAAGTGTTCATCTAATACGAAGGGTTCGTCGCAAATGATTACACATCGTTCCGCACTAGACTTTAATATTAAAACTTTGTTAAAAGTTTAATTCAAAAGTAGCATGCGTATTATAATAAATATAAAATAAAATTGCCAATACCATCCCTGGTGAACTGCGCTGTCAGTAAAAATAATACATATGTGCTTTCTAGGATTTTTAATTGTTCAATTACAGAATTTTGTTCTTAATTTCTAATGGAGGATCGGCTTTTTGGAGATTGGACCGATTGCAGATTAAAAGGGTTCAAGCTATTCCGCTTCAGAGTCTCCCGAACTGCTTTGTTCCCTTTGATTTGCAATGGTTTGACTGGGTTTTCTGCCGTAATATTCAGGATATTTGTCCAATGTCAATATCGAGTCCTTGGGGCATTTCAGATATAATTTTCAAAATTGAAAATGTTCCAGTTTTTTGAGGTGCTCAGAAAAAACATTTGAAACGTTCTCCGATTGCTATGGTTCTGTCTGAAAATCGGCCAAGCTCCGCAACTCTGAGTATCTCTTACAGAAACTTAATATTAAGCATATTAATTTAAGAAATAAACTTGCTTCGAAAAGAAACTTATGTTAAGTCTAAAATTAGGAAATTACATTTAACGAAATGTTTTACTTATTTTGACGTATAGATTATACTCTTAGAACACACATTGATTGATGTATAGGCCATTGGCATTAATCCGGCAACGTCTATTTTATTACTGTTAAAAAATTAAACTGTACTTTTGGTAAAATTAAATGTAAAAATGCAACTCATGAAAAATAAAAAAAGATTTGTATTCAGTCGATACACATTTACTATAGTGTTTTGTCTATGTTCACATTGTTTATTCATGGTTCTCCTATTTACATGCCCTACTAATGTTAATCGTTTATCGGCTAAACTTCATTAAAACTCTTTCCAACCAAAGCAAAACAGGATTAATGGATTGAAGCTCTATCGTTCATATTTTACCAAAATATTTACCTCGCTTCGATTAGTCAACATATTTGAAATATAATAACAAACATAATGAAACGTGTAACGCGCCGTAATTGTTTGCAATTCTATTACTTATTTGTAGTTGATTCGCCGAAATTTAATACTGGTATTATGTCGAGTATTGCGGTATGCATTAATTTGCCAAGATAATAATGAACGTAACCAATTTCACGCATACTTTTTTTAAAGTATCTATATACTTACTTAGCCAACTTTTTTGCTTTTCCAGATAAAGATTTTTAATACTTTTTTATTCAATTCAATTTCATTTATTTCAGAATTTATTGGTCCCTGTATATGACTATTGAATATTTTTCTTTTCGTTCGCTTGTTAATGTTCCCAAGAACAAGCCCTGAATTACTAGTAATCTTATATCACTAGACTGGATCAAAGATCGGATTTGCCTGATCGTCACATCAGTATCATAACAAATCAAACAATGACCAAAGATGATGAAAGGCAATAAATAACAACGTTATATCTTAATATCTATTGACCTGCGTTTTCTGTTAGTAGAAATCCAATTTCGCTTTTTTATTTGATTTCGTGTTAATCGTCTTGTTGATATCTTTATAAACAATTTGTACCCGTAGAAAAGATCCGTCGGGCCGCCGTTTTATGAATCATGATGACCTGATTCCAACTGGACTTGTGAGTCCTTGAAACCCAGGAATTGTTTTATGCATAATTGATATGATGTTTATGTAAATTATAAGCGTTTAATTATTTCTCATAGCAAATTCAAAAGAAATCATAGCAATTAAGTAATTGATGTGCAAATTTTATCTAAAAATAATTTAATCTTTAACTTTTAACATTAAACATTCATTATTTTCAACATAATGTTTAAACAGTTTACCCTTCAGTAATCAAGTTTGGGCTGTATTATACGTTGTAGTATTACTCTGTACGAGTAAAATAGACCATTGGAGAAGTCTCTCCGACGTCTCAAGAAAAAACTGATCTAGAATCCGACGAAAACCTCGTTTACATATCAAATAGGAATGAACAAAAAGTTATGATTATTTTAAGCTAAATTGTTTTTTATCTTATATTATATTTTTCCATTTATAAAGTGTTCAATACTCCTCAAAAAAGGTTTATTACGATTTTTTGGAAGCAATGCCAATTTAATTACAGAAAATTAAAAAAAAACGCCGATTTTACGTCGGTCTTTGGTACTTTGAGCAAATAAATGAACGGATTTAAATTGAGTTTGTCGAACTGAGGTTGAGTTTTACCTCGTGTGAAAGGCCTTTCAATTCCCTTTATGTCCATACCTAGTTTAGACCATTTTACTTCACCAGTTCTCAAAAAAAATATGTCTAACATTGTTAAATGGTAAGAAAAGAGACATACTTTTTTGGGCAAAAACTATGAAAGCTACAATATTTTACAAAGAGCCCAAATTGTGAATAAATGATTAGGGCATCAACCAAAAAAATGAGTTAATTCCATCCACCAAATAAAAAGTTCCCATCACTTCACTCAAGAATTCATCACTTGTCCAAACCGGCCTAACTCGATTGTTTTATCAAAATATGAGTCTTTAGATCTTTAGAACAAATTCACTGCGAGTTTCACCAAAATACATCATAACATTTTCCCAATATTTCAAAAAAGATACATTTTTTGAAGAACTTTGCCCATCAATAGCAGCGAAGCCAAACATTTTTTGTTAATAAAAGTTAGGTGAGATCGTCTTATTTTGATCCAAATAATATTGCAGTACCTTTTTGATCATGTGCTTACAGGGCAGCCTGTATATGAAATGGCTTGATGATCTGGTAGTTACAATATTAAAATCGTTTCGAGAAGACAGTCATAAGTTTAACCAATGTAATCAAGTTGTTAAACCTGGTTAATTACCGTAACCTTTGTTTTTTATAGCAAAATTGCTTCTAATCATATACACATAGTCCAAGTCACGCTTTTATTAAACACAATTTTTACAAAATTGCAGGCTCTACTTCTCCGTTAGTATTTTGCACTATCCAGTCTGTAAATGCAGATGTTTTACCATACACTGTTGGGGCATTATGTCCACCACATGGAACTAATACCCAGGACACAACTCCGACAAGTAAACCATTATTAACAAGTGGACCACCACTGTCTCCACTGCAAGCCGATTCTCCACCATTTCTGATTCCAGAGCACACGTTTAGTTCTACATCAAAGGGATTACGATCTCCGAGCAAGTCGTTCAAAATGTTGTCGCATTCTGAAAAGTTTCAATTTACAGTTAACAAAATCGTCGAATTTGATTGAAATCTCGTTAACGCTTGCCCAGTTAAAATCAAGTTTTTTAGGTGACAAATGCAACATTATTTAACATATTTAAGTCGGATACATTCGTAGCTCGATTAGCCAGCCGTATTGTCGTCAACCAACTATTTTTTGCGGGTTAAGAATGACTGGAAAGACCAAACCTACCTCCAGTTTCTGAAAACCCGCTAAGTAATTGGAAATTTATCTCAATGTCGTTCTTTTGCATCACTCGCTCTTCACTCCTTTGTCTTTAAAAACTGTCTCTGTGAATGGACTTGATAAATTTTGTACAAATTTATGTTTGAATACAGACATTCTGATAGTATTTCGTATTTGAGAAAACTCTAATATTATTATTGAAAAATGTCGTTATTCCTCTGGATGTGTTGCCTTGGGGAATTTTGGTAGCACATAAAAAATTATAAAAGGAAATTTGTTATTAACCAAAAATGTATTTGATTGCACTTGCATCTTAAAAAAAAACAGACATGGAAATTGGTCACTTTACTGATGGATCTATAAATTTGTTACTTCTATAGGTAAAGCAGGATCTACTGCATCAAAACTTCGTCATTTAATTGAGTTCCGACACCAATGATATTCACTATAAAACCTCACTTCATAACATCAGTTTTTTATGTTCTTAAAACTGTTTCGATCTCCTACCATACTTTGACGTTAACGCAAATTTTTCTCTTGTAAAACTTTAGAAAGTTCGATTTCAACAAAACTATTATTAATAACTAAAACTAGTGTTCAACTTTTCAATTGTGGTCTATACCTGGTGCCTCTTCTTCTGTCTTTTCTATTCTGTTAATGTGTGATGCTTAACCGGTTCTTGTAAGTAATTCTTTCAACACATTCTTTTCAGTCAGAAGTTACGGTCTTCTCATGTAGAATAATTGACCGACTTACTTTCCCCAAGTAAGATGTATTTTTACGCATTTTGTTATGTTCTCTAATTAACTAAAAATAATCACGGAACAGTTTGTCCGTAGGTCACTTAAATCAGGAGAAAGAGCAATCAGAAACATTTTGGCCATCGCCAAGAAAGCACTATACAACAAATATCATCATTTGTCTGACCACTGATCAAAAACATCAACAATTGAAGCTAAACATACTTCATGCTTCGTCATGTATGGAGATACAAAAACTATTATACGTTTAATATTACAAAAAGACAGAATTAATATTTCTTCATATTTTTCACAAGTGCAAGTTTTTACCTTCTCCTGGGACGATAGGAAGATAAGCAAATTGGAGATGATTTGGGACAGTCAGAGCACTAGGTCGTGTCAAGCCCCATCCGGTAAGAACTGCGTCTCCTTCAGCAACATATCCTCGGTGTGGAATAGGAATCGGTTGAACATTTTCTACATAAATAAGGCTTCTAGATAGGCGAAGTAATGATATATCATTTGGAGCTACAGCATCAGTCCTAGAAATATATCAAATCTTTCATTTGAAATATATCATAAAAAGTTAGTGGCTATCAATTAATCATGCTGTTGCTGCTTCGGAGATTTAAATTTCAATGTTATACAACTTTTACAGTTAAGCGTAGTAACAACTAAATATCGCCGATATGTTTTGTAAAATATCTTAATGATTAAAGAACATACTTGGGCTGTTTCCGTACATCCTCAGCCGATTGACCTTTATCTGGGCCTGTAAGGTTTTTTATGTTGACGTACTTACTCGGGATAAAGTGGATGATTAATAATCTCTGAAACTGCAAGAGTTTGTTGTCCAAAAACATTTTCGTCAGTTTGCAAGACAATGCCAGCTACTACTCGATATGTTCCAGATGTGGTGCAGTGAGATGCAGTGAGTACCCAACTAAAATTTGTAAAGTGTAAGTGTTTTGATAAGTAGGTTCTTGAAAATCTTACTTCCAGGTTGATCATATTTTTAATCTGGATTTCAGTATGAACCATGACATAACTTAATTTAATTATGTTTAAATTCAGAATCCAAAAGATTCAGAAAAAACAAACCTTTTATGTTAACCGTGGTAGATTACGTGATTAAAATAATCCCCTTACTCATAAAACCCTTTATGTATTATACAGGGTGACCAAGATAAGGATGCATTGCATGGGGAACTTCGAAGCCGTAAGAGATGCGAAGTCGGTTAGACTAGGAAAAAGTTGTTCAACTAGAGGGCCATCAACATACCAGTTTTGAAGTTTTTGAAGTTTCTCTTTTAATTTTCGAGATATTTAAGGAGTAATATTTCGTTTTTATTCATTCAAATTCGTTATTTCAAATAATATCAGTAAACAAAAAATGCTTTCTCGTGGCACCTTTTCGAGATCTAAAAGATGGTGTCTATCAAAAATAATTCCCACTTTTCATCATCAACTTTTGTTTTTTATATGGGCCGAATTACATTGTTGAATTCGATATTAAAAAAGCTATCTAATACGTTTAATACTTATTTCCGCTTAAAAACAAAAGTTGATGATGGTTTCCAAGAAACCATCTTATAAAACTCGAAAATGTGCCATGAGAAAGTACTTTTTGTTTTTGATAAGATTTGAAATAGCTTCAAAAATGAATAAAAACGAAAATCCGAAAAAACGCTTTTTTATAAATATCTGAAAAATTAAAAGAAAAACTTGTCTTTTGAGAACTCGCTGTATACGACCACCTGATTGCGCGACTTACGGTTTCGGAGATGCCCATGCCATGCATCCTTATCTTGGACACGCTGTATAAGTTTCGAAAAATTATGGATGGATGAACTTTAAACAAAAGGAAGATGGTGTGAAAAAGCTCATTCAGAAGCTTAAATTTTTTTATATGCCTATAAAACGAATCTTCAATATCAGAGTAAAATACTTACTTGGATGAAATAATGCTGCCACCGCAAACATGAGAGTATGTTAAGATCCAAAGACGTTGCACTGATACTTGATAAGGAAATTGATTTCTCAATGCATTGAATCCCCCAATGATTTGAAGTCCATCGCTTACTTTAAGTGGCGTGTCAAGATATGCGGCGTTGTAGTTGCTATAATTAGCTGTAGCTGATATAAACAATTATAATTAGACGTGTAATTACAAATTCACTACTTTATAAAGAATAGATGTGCTAATTTTACCTATTTAAAATATCAAATTGGTAAATTTGCTTGTTTTTTCTCAAAACAAATTTGCAGTTTTTTAGCAGATTGCTTCATAAAACACCTCATAAAAGCGCAGGCTTTCAGAGTACTGCTATATCCAAACTCTGATCTGGAAGTACTGGAGAGGGACACATCCCAAAAGCCGATACTTTCAATTGGGTCATTTTAAATTGAAGCAACTTTTGCTATCAGTATTTGCTTTCCCTCTGCAGTAGCGGAAATTTCGTCATCGACAAGTATATAGGATTAAGTTAAGAGTGTGAATCAAAGCTGGTGGATAATGAATTGAATATACCTGAATTTAATAAACTCAGATAAAAAATTCCACAACTGGTGATCGAACGACAGTATATCAGTGGTGTGATGGTACTAGATTTTTTTACAGATAACGCTCACAACAGATAATATCATCAACTAAATATTTGCAAGCAAGTAAAAATTATGGCCAAACAGATGACAAAAACATTAACCAGCAAATAACATCTTGCTTGTCTAGAAGGATTATTCGATTGAATTGTTAATCTTACAAAATTATCTACATGAGGACCACTAATGTCCCACTAATTCCACTTGTCTGTAGTGCGTTTGATTCATCAGTGGAATTAACGGTTTTTGGAAATGTGTTTCCATTAACTATGTAATTTGTATTGGCACCAAAAAGTAGAAATTTGATTTGGTAGCGCCGAAATAACAGAAATTTTTTTAATTAAAAAAAGGTGTTCCTGTCCTGTCCCAAATGTAGACTCCGAGTTAGACTTAGAGAGTCCGTTTGGAATTAAAGTAAATGGAATCCCCCTTAACAATATCCGGTATGCGGATGACACCGTGATACTTGCAGAAAATCCACATGATCTTCAAAATCCACTAAATTGGGTCAATCTAGAAAGGCAAGGACTGGGTTTAAAAAGTAACGTCAGCAAAACCAAGTTTAGGGTAGTTGGTAGAAACGATATTCTACACACTCGAACTCACGTTGATGGGGAGAACATCGAACAGGTCACACAGTTCAAACACTTGGGATGCATTATTAACGAGGATAATATAATAGAACAACCTTTCTAAAACTTCGAAAATTTCTTACATACAGGAACATGAATTGGGACCTCAGATATAAGATGGTAAAATGCTGTGCGGTGTTTAGATGTCGGCGTTAAAGGCATCAATCATCAACCAAATTGAGAAAAACATTCTAACGAAGACATTCTCCAAAGAGCCGGTGTGGCGGAACAAGAACTTTTCGAAAATGTTAAGGAAAGAAAAAGAGGAAACAGATTAACTCGGACTAGGCATGGATAACTAACAGTATGGGTAACACTCAAATAAATTTCAGGCAATCGTGACGAAACCTCTTGATGCGCCAACTCAATGCACCGGTGTAGTTACGCTGCGGTCACCTACTTGGTTAAAAGTTACTCATAAAAAATGTGGTGAATCTTTTTTAATTGTTAAAAGGCTTAATTTACAGTGCGGCGCAGTGAGAGCAGCCAATCAAATAATTATTCATTTTTGGTATTACGAAATATGTGCCACTTAATTTGAATCACATTTATTGTTGAAAAATAGTTACTTTAATGGAATTTCGACAAAATAATTTTGTTAACTATTAACACAAATTGTTAAAAAAAATAAGGTTCAAAAGGACGTTGAGAAAACCTCCAAAATTAATTTGAAAACCTCATTTTTGATAATTTTAGTTTGCGTACAGTTGTCTATTCCAAAAGTGTTTAGTTATTGAAATATTGTCAATTTAATGTTTTCATATTGCTATTTTATCGCATTTTATTTTAAAAACTTTCACTCTTAGTTGCCATGACAAAAGTGGCCATTTTTAATACAATCAAATGCCAAAGGAATATTTATAGCTGTCAGATACCTTTGGAAAATTATTAATATTCATACCCAGACGTTTAAATTATACAAACGAATATTATTTAAACGTATTTATCATTTTTAAACGTATTTATCAGTGGAGAATGAGATAAATCATGTCAAGAACTCAAAATAATTTTCAAAAAGTTTCTTTGCGTCAGCGAATATTCAAAATACCCAAATAACCCAACAGAAGCTCGGGTATTCCATTCATGGTAATATTTACGCAACTTTACTACACCTGCGTACTCCGATGGTCACGTGGGGTCAAATTCCTTGGGAAACCCCATTTCTTATTGGCCAAAGTCGGATTCCACGCATTCCGACAAAGGTCTCGCATCGGAGCGATTCCCACTCATTCTTCGGGTTTCCCCGTCTACCATCGGATGAACGAAAATTCAATTTTTGCCAATGTTTCACGTTTTCGGAAAGAAGATTTGAGGTGTCATATAGTAAATGACAATGCCAAATTAATTTAATAAATTCGTTAATTTTTGTTGAAATTCACGTATGGAGAAAGTCAATTTGAGGAATTTTACAATACTCTAAATTCAAATATTAATCAAGTTGGCCCAAAAATTCCCTGGCCAAAAATTTCCATGACAAAAGTGGCAGCTTTTGTCATGACAACTAAGAGAGACTGCAATTAAAATAAGACGCGCCAAAATAGCCATACTCATACATTAAATTGACAATATTTCTAAAACTAAACACTTTTGGAATAGACAACTTTACACAAACGTTCCGTTATTTTTAATACTGAATAAGATTAGGCGGTTTCCATTTGAAAAAATTGATTCTGACACTTCGTATTAATAGTTATCAAAATTTCGTTGAAATTCTATTAAAGTAAATCCTTTTCAACAAGAAATGCGATTCAAATTAAGTAGCCCGCATTCCCTTATAGGAAAAATGACAAATAATTCGAGTGGCTACAAGTGTAATTTTTTACATAAAATTTCAAATACAATATTAAAAACGGTTAGACTTAAGTATAGGTCATCAGGTTTCGTGTATAACATATACAGGAAATATATTTAGAATTTGGAGTGGAATTCAACAGTGCAATAATATATAGGGTGTTCCATTTAAAATAAGCAAGTTGATATACGCTTGCTCCCAATGACTTAGGCACACTGTGCAATTTTCAAATTTCTCCTAATTACAGTTTGTCAGATATCGATCGCGGCGGTTCTCAGTGGGACACCCTGTATAAAACGCTATGAATTATATAGATACACACTAAACGCCAAGCTGGTTTCATTTAACACTGAAGAAGCTGATGATGTCAAGTCAAATCTAGCAAAATTTGCATCAAAGCAGCCACATTTTTCGAAACAGTGGAAGCAGGAGCTTTTGAACTCGTAGACTACCAGGCTGAAAACAACAGCCACTAATGTGCACTTGCAAAGGGGGGAAACTGGAGGATTCAATACTACGTAATAACAAGTCAAACCGAAGAAGCAAACAAATGTTAAAGCGTAGAAGGCAAAAGTCTGCTAGCCAGAAAATATACGGTATAATTGAGACACAGGAGCGCAAGTATCCTGTCTGTTGAAGACTGAATTGTACTACAATGGGTTCGAAATTGGTCCTGAGAGTTACTCCGGGTCACAAAACCAAAATAAGTTACTTCATCCCTGGAATTAAATCGGGTGAAATGTTTAAGTTTACCCATGAACATTCATGGTGAGTTGACTCATAATGGCACTTAGCTCTTGCTGGTATTTTCGTGTTAAGCTTTCATCATAATCTAGAGCTTTTTCTATTAATTTTAAACTGTTTCACTTTACTTAATTATTCAATAATACTTGGCATTCTGAATCAATCAAAATCAGTCAGTGTTTCGTTCTGATCAAGCCATGAATTTGAAAAAAAATGGCCTACAAACATCACATTTATTAAACTAGTTAAAGTTCTCCAATTCGCAAAGAGTCTTATAAAAATCGAAACCCTTACCCAATACAGCTGATGTCAAAAGACTGAAAACTAATGAAACTTGCATGCTGGTAATAAACAAAAACTGGCACAACTTAATTTTGATTTTGATCTTTATATTTACTGCAATCACGGTATCTTGACGGTTATCTAAACCTTTAGAACGTTAAAATAATACCTGGAAATCTAATTTGTCAAACTGAATTGAAGTAGTATCAATTTATCCTGCAAAGCATAAATATTTTTGCTAAAATAAATAATTTGTTTACACATATTTTACATCAGGTCATATAAATTGTGCGCTGCTTATCTAAGATTGTTTCAAGAAGTTCGCGACAGTTGAACAAAAGTTTGAAAACGATACAATAAACATGAGCTGTCCGCTGATCTTTTGGACCTCCTAGAATAACACCCAAAAGTCAATTCTGACTCCTAATTGTATTGCAGATATTATGTTAAGAGAGCACATACTTATGAAATACATATTAAATATTTATAATTCATTACATTTTAATACATGAATGCAAAAATAAAAACACAAATCATATGTAGAAATTCGCGACAGGTACAAAAGCGTTGTGATTTTACAACGTGACCAGTAGGAGTTTAGAGGGGGATTCGATAAGGAAAGAAAATCTCCCGATGGAAGCCAAAAACCTATTACGTTGCAAGTTTTGAGAACTTGATGAAACTGTGGGTTGTGGTGTTCTGCGTATCCTTGGCATTGAAAGTTCAGTCGAATTTGATGAGGGAACGATTAGGATTTTGTTGAATACGTTTTTTTTATTTTTCCGATTTATCTAGGTATCCTCCAGCTCCTGGCGAATATTTCGAACTTCCTAAGCGTTCATGCTCGTAATTGTTTCCCCAGAGACAGCAAGAAATGTTGCCGAGGAACGCCTGAACTTATGGCCTGTGTATAGTTGAGATGAATATGATGATATATATTAAAGATGCAATTAAGCTGTTGTTTGGGCAGGCAATTTTCCAAAATTGATCATTCTTACGCATTGAGCAATGCATTTATCTATTGAATATTCATTAAAACGGCGATTTGTTTATGATTTGCAGTCGTAAGTTCTCATGTTTCTTGTACAATTTTAAGAAAGTTTCATTGTTTGCTTTTTTCATATAACAAAGGATCTTGCAGAATGATTTTTAGAGTACGTTATTTAACTATTGTGATGTTTTCTTTGCCTTCAACGTCATTAACAGGTATTTGTTCAGTTTCCGCCTGACCACAAGATCCAGCCAACCTAAAAATGGTATCCACTTTGATCATGAGGTTGTTTCATCTGGTGCTGTTAACCTAAATTTCAATATTTCTTCTTGTGTAAATACTTCAGCTTTCGGTAGCCGACATTCAATATTTTTGTGCCTTAAAGAAGCCTTTATAGATAACACTATGCGGAAAAGAAAATCTTTCGACATAACATAGCGTGTGCCAGAAATTGTTCAATCGAACACATTGGTAGGAAAGATTAATTTAGCTTAATCACATTTTAATTTAAATTGCTTACTCTATTTAAAAGGTGCTATTTAGGTATTTCCTAAATTTCATGTCAACAATATCTCGGATGGTGGTAGTTAAGAACGAAATTGCGTCTGGTAAAACACGAATAAAAATCAGTATGTGTTGGGAGGTCAGATTGATTTTGCTTTATATAAGTCAAGCAGTTCAATATGAAAGCATATCAGGAAATGATAATATTCTTCCCCTTTTAAAGTCTTTTTGAGAACGCGAAAATCCGACATAACGTCTTGGAATTCTGAAGATGTTAACCGTTACGACATTTAGAATGTGAAAAGTGGGAACAAACTCCTAATAATGGAAAGGTATCACTTTTAAATGAAGAATAACAAAGTCTCGATATAGAGCGTATTGAAAAGGATTGGAATAGCTTATGTTCAGCGTATGTTCAGGAGTAGATGATCCATGCCTGAAGATTTTGATTTCGTTACTACTAAGGTACCAGGTGTTCATTAAAGCTCTCACAAGAGCTGCAGGACAAAGAAAAAGTTTACCAACAGAACTCTACCTTGTGTTTCCACGAGTAAGCCATTATGGATAGATAATGATTATACATTTGAGAATTTTTCAATTTTTTTAGTTTCTTATGTTTAATCATCTTGTATGGATGGTGCTCCGTATGTTTCAGCTAACTTTCTGAGCGCCAGTGAAAAGACTTAGATTTTAGTATCAGAGTTCACAGAAATTTGATTTTTCAAATACGCCATACATACTCAAAATGCTCCCATGCTAAATATAATTTTCTTCCATTGTAACTATTAATTATAAATGTGCCAAAATAAAATAATGGGAATACTTTATGACATTAAATTCTCGCATTTCTGAAATATCGGTACTTTACACGGCCATTAACACATATTAAAGGAACTGAATATTGTTGAACACAAACACATTTATTATACAAAACGAATGTAATTAGCATAATTAGATTCTTCCTGGTTGGACTTCGCCACGGGTATTTTCCACAATCCAGTCAGTAAATGCGGAAGTTTTACCGTAAACTGATGGAGCATTGAATGCTCCACATGGAACCAAAACCCATGATACAACTCCAACAACAAAACCATCGTTAAAAAGTGGTCCACCACTGTCTCCATTGCAAGCTGATTCTCCTCCAAATTGAATTCCTGAGCACACGTTTAGCTCTTCATTGAACGGGTGTTGAGTTCCCAATAAGCTAGTTAATATTTCATCGCATTCTAAATATTACAAAATTTGGAATTAAAAAATTGATTAATTATTTAAATTGTGGCTGGTACCTCGTTCAGGAACAATAGGAAGATTGGCAAATTGAAGATGGTCGGGAATAGATCCTCCAGTTCGGGTCAGACCCCAACCGGACAAAATTGCTTCTCCTCTAGCTTGGTGCCATCTGGGTGGTATAGGAAGAGCCCGTACACTTTCACCGAAGATCAGACTCGACGCCAAATGAAGTAAAGACACATCGTTTGGAGCCACTACGTTGTTTCTATGAGAAATTATTTAATGCTAATATTCTTTTAACATTTTAGCCAACAAAACACTTTCATTTTAATAGTGAGGGTTTGAATTATTGTCTGTAAAATTTGTGTATTTTTGTTAAAACTAATAGCTCACCCTGGATAGAGGGCATTATTAATGACTTGAGCAACGGCAATTGTTTGCTGACCGGGAACATTTACGTCGGATTGCAAAATAATTCCAGCTACCACACGGTAAGTGTTGCCATCTGGTGTACAGTGAGCAGCAGTTAAAACCCAACTAAAAAAAAATAACTTGTTATATAACTCTAATATTTTCGTGGTGTAACTACAACTACTTACGTGCAATCTAGTTTATGAGTTTGAAGTAAAGTTACTTATCAAAGTTAATAATTTTAAAATTAGGTAAAAGTATCAATCAGTGAAAGACAAAATATTAAAACGTAATTAATATATTATTATTTTGAATTCGGGTTAGCTGAATTTCAAAAACGTCTAAATGAGGAAGAGATTTTAGATGAATCGAACAACTCGTATATGACCACTATATGAAACAATGCTCTCATGAACTTCCTCTATAAGTTCAATATATGAGAAATTTAATTAAACCAGAATTGTCCACGAATCAAAAGAAACACAAGAGCATCTTGGGCCACCAGGCATGATAGAAAAAACATTACTTACTCTTCAGAAAATGATAGAAAAAAGTACTGGTTCAGGAGCAGCATCTATTATTTTTTATCTCTAAAGATCCCACCAAGAATGCTAAGAGAGGCAAGATGCAGAAATTAAAATGACACGTCCAACAGCTGTAGTTAAAGGTTTAGCGATCCCAGAAATAATCGCACAGGTTTGTCGTATTTTTTCGATAATTTACAAAACATATCTTGTGATCTTGCCCAATAGAAAAAGTCAATAACATTGGACTCTCAATGAGCTATAATATTTTTCACACCCTGCGCTCCGCGCATTATCAAGTACTTCTAGTACAAAACTATGAAGATCTGAGCTAATTGAACATAAATTTCGTAGAAGAAAGCGAAAAATGAAGCTTAGAGTTGCCCATCAGTTAAGCAGAACAAGAGGAATTTGAAAATGAAAATAGTCAAATATGTATTATAAAATTGCAAAGCTCACAAGTATCAGAGCGCAAGCAATGATTCATTGAACGAGACAATAAGTAAAAAAATGCTCAAGAAAGGAGAAAATTTAGTCTAAATAATGTGAGACCTTTAAACCTATTAGGCAAAACCGAAAATAGAGATTGTAAGAAGATAATAGGTAAAATTTTAGTTAAAGGCAGTACACGCAATAGCTGCTGGTTATCAAAAAAATTAAAGAAAAACATTAAAATCAACAAAGATGGACCACTGGACTGGAGAAGACGATAAAGAAGAAACGGGAATAATCGCATTCAAGAAGAGATTATTAAAACAGCCAGGTTTAAAGGCTCATGGAGCAACACAGAAAATTGGAGATCGGGTATCGGAAGAAAACGGAGAATCGGAGTAGAACGTTGAAAAGCGATACACATATTTTCAATTTCTTTTACTGCTTCTTGCGTTTAGTATTCAAATTAGCTACGAAATACCAGTAAGAGTTTAAATAGTTCATAATAAAAAGAGCACCGATTTGTACTTACTTTGGAGAAATAATAGTTCCACCGCAAATGTGCGAAAATGTGATCAGTCCTCGACGTTGTAGAGATACTTGGTATGGGAATTGGTTTCTTTCGGCATTAAATCCTCCGACTATTCGCAAGTTCTTACTGACATTTACAGGTGTTGCGGGTAAGTATTCCGCTTTGTAGACCGGAGTCTCAGCATCGGCTTAAAAAATGTATAAAATGGAAAATCAGCACTAAGCAAAATCAGATAATCGGGAATTAAAAATATATATGTATCTGTTGTCTCGCAGTGGACCTTCTGGTGGAGTTTTTTCTGCTTTTATCCCTACTTCTAATATAGAAAACGTTCCATTAGAAATCAATTGCTGCGAATTCTTTAACTTCACCGACTGTTTGTTTTACAACATGAGCCGACGGCCATCACAAATTTATTAGGGTTTATGACTACTTTTTATTAGATCTTTCGTAAATAAATTGGTAAAAGCCTTTGGGGATTTCTAGATTTTGTTAACTGGTTATAGGTTTTCAACTTCTAAAGTTGAATGTGATGTACAAACAGCGAATTGTTGCAAATCAATTACAATTAATATAAGTATATTAAAGTCTATTTGTAAAACAAATAAGAACACGGTTACTAAACTCCATTCTTATAATGGACAGATCTGTATCTTATTGCAAAAGAACGTTTCTCAAAATTATATATTATAGATATATGCACTTACCAGAAACTGCTGCTGCCGCCAATGCGATCAAAACTAGCGAAAACTTCATTTTGAATTCAGCCGAATAAGTGTGATTCTACTGGCATTAAATTGTATTTATATAAAAACCATAATCAGATATTATTTTAAAACCAGCAGATTATCAAAAACAATTAATTCTCAAAGTGGTAAATTCCTATGAAATTCAATTAAACTTAAAGTAGCATTTAAATAATCTTAGCACGTAACTATTATACGTTTGCAAATATCGCAAGTGACTGCTATGATTGATGATCATCAATCAAATTTTGGAAACAGATGTGACGAAAAGATTACATTTTTTCTAAACAAATCTTAACAAATTGTTCAGCTTTAGATAGCAAATTGTATCATATCAAAAGACTTTCGTGAAGAAAATTATGATCCAGAATGGCGGCCTTTGGATTGAAAACTATTAACATCGCATAACTTAACTGTAGGTACTAATCAATGAATAGGACATTTATTAGAAGCTGTGAGAAAGGTGGATAGAAAAATAACCAGTGAATAAATTGAAGGGGCGAGTGGATAAGGGTGTTATTAATCGAAAAGTTTATTTTGAGAAAAGGAAGATTACATTTAATTTACTGGAAATTTAGATCAAATTATTTGTTTTACAGATTTTACATAGTTTTATAATGCATAACCAAGGTTTTGCTAATTCATGCATCCGCAAATTAATTAGGGTTGATCAATTTGGAGCTTACTGAAAATTAGGATAAATACACGCCATTTAAAATAGTCAATATAAAGAAACATCCCAACGAACCATAGGAAAATCTCGTCAAAATTAAAAATATGATTAAAATCGGATTGTTTCCAAATAAAAAGTCAATTCCTTCGATGTATCGTCATTTTTATAGATGCAGGTTTAACGAAAATAAATAGTGTCTCAGGGTTAAGAACTTCCGACTCTTGTAAAATCTTAAAAAATCGTAAAATTTTTTGATCGACTCCAGCAATAATTTTTTTGTTAAATTAGTTTAATTGATTAGTAGAAAGTTTTGTTAGAATTAGGACACTTTAATCACTAAAATCCATCTCAACCATTGATTTATTTTCATTGCTCTGAGATACCGAGTAGAAATAAAATTCAAAAAAACATCTTTATATTTGAAAATCACCATTTAATAATTACCACTTATTACATGAAAATCTTCAATCTTACCCATTACTAACCAGAAACAAAACAAAGTTTACAGTTTCACTGTCTCCAAACTTTCAATTAATCCTCCAAACACCAATATTTTCTATATATTTTATTTTTATGATATCGGTTTTTCTGCACACTGGGTATCGCAGGTCAGTGAAAATCGGTAGAGATGAATTTCAGGATTTACAGTTTTTTCGTTAGAATTGCTTTAATATTACTTTCTGAAATTATCAAATTCAAAACGTTTGCAGCTTGCCATGACTACGTATGTATATAGAAAGCACAAACACCTAAAACATAAGAACGTAAATCTTGAAATTGTTCAAAAAACTAAAAATTTACATGAGTCGTAAGTTCGTAACCCCGACAAACTATGTGCTTTTTTAGAACCAATGATAGTCTCAGGATTAGAAGCAGGTCTATAATTTTCCCTACTAAAACAATTCTTATTTTATTTATATTCTGTTTAAAGTTCACATTATTTGCCTGTTGTCCAATATTTATTAAATAGTGTGTATTTATTGTAGTGTTCTTTGTACCAGTGAGTTCACTTTCATGAAGGTACCTTCACGAACGGAAGTTTTTCTTATTTACCACACCCAACTGTCGTATCAGTTATTGTTGAACAAATTTTTTTTATTATACTGCGGTGCTGCTCAGCAGGTAAAAGCATTTACCTTCTCGGTTTTCCCAAGTACTTAGTTAGGAAATGAATGGTCTATTTCTTTAAAAACGCCTGTGAATATTAAGGACTGGTAGAAGCAAATCGTCCTAAGGTTTTTGTTCTGACCGGCACAAGAGTCTGACTAAACAATAAGATGTTAGTTTATTTTTATTTCTTGTGACAATTGAAGAAAATTACACCAATCGCTCATAACTTTACCACATTCGCGATTAGTCACTTCTTTTTCTTGATTTTTATTAGTCCCGGTCTGCATGAAAGCTTTCTGTTCGTTGCTTGTAATAACATGACTGCCAAATCCTCTTTCGAAACGCTTAAAGCGAATAACGTTTTATGTGCTTTTAGCATATTCATTTAATCATACCGAGAAATTTTCGCGTAATAAATATTTACCAAAATAACAAGATGCAAGAGTTTGCTGGTCGTCTTGGATGGTTTTGTTTCTGGAAATAAATCGGTCAATCTCATCAATAGTCAGGTCAATATAGAATTACAAATAAAAATAAAAAAAATTTAAAATTTTTATTAAAAAAATGAGTTTGTGTTTGGAAGGTATTTTTGGACCACTCCGTAAAAATAAATTTTATATAGAAAAAGTCGGATTTACAAATAAAAGTTGACGGGTATCAGCTTTTTTCCAAAGGAACACAGCGCTGAATTGTAAATTAATTTAGACTTTATTTCTGGTGTATTTCTAGTATACACATATACAGTGAGTTCATTATATATACTTTTATTTAAAGTCTTTTGTTTCAAATAAATTTCTATTTTGATTCTTGTTGGAAATGGTATAGTTAGCTAAAAGTATGTATGACTTTAAAGCAGTAGTAACTCTAGTAGCTGTAAAGCATTGGCCGTTTCGAATTTCCGTATTATCCGCTAAATTATTGGAAATAAGAATACCCCGACAAATTGCAAAAGTGGTAATATAAGATAAGTTCTGATTACGAATAGCCTTGGAGACAAATATAATCTTTCATGAATGGCATATTTAAGTTGATGAGACGTCTCGGTTGAGTTTTTTTATCACTTTCATTACGTTTCCAAAATTACAGAGTCAAATATTTAGGAAATTTTTCAAGTACTTTACTGATAAAAATCACTGATACATGCACTATGAAACAAATAAAATAGGTGAGGTTGAGTTGTCCAAATCTGCTATATCCTAGACGTGTAGGAAAACCTCACTTTACTGTAAAAACCTGATAATTAATAAATGCTTGTTTCAGTTACGCCGATTTCTAAAATAGGTCAGGTCCAATAAACAAGTAACTCAAATTAAATCAGTAAAATAAAACAGTATTTCTATTAAAAAGTTTATTATACAAGTCTTAATGTAATTAAGACAATTAAAATCGGGGCGGTTGAACTTGTTGAACACAACTGAATTCAGTATGTGTTGGGAAGTCAGATTGGTTTTGCTTTATATAAGTCAAGCAGTTCAATATAAAAGCATATAAGGAAATGATAATATTCTTCTCTTTTTAAAGTGTTTTTGAGACCTCAAAAATCCGACATAACGTCTTGGAATTCTGAAGATGTTAACTGTTACGACATTTAGAATGTGAAAAGTGGGAACAAACTCCTAATAATGGAAAGGTATCACTTTTAAATGAAGAATAACAAAGTCTCGATATAGAGCGTATTGAAAAGGCTCGGAATAAGCGTATGTTCAGGAGTAGATGATCCATGCCTGAAGATTTGCTGCAGGACAAAGAAAAGGTTTACCCAAAGAACTCTACTTTGTGTTTCCACGAGTAAACCACTATCGATAGATAATGATTATACATTTAAGAATTTTTCAATTTTTTTAGTTTATGTTTAATCATCTTCTATCGATGGTGCTCCGTATGTTTCAGCTAACTTTCTGAGCGCCAGTGAAAAGACTAAAGTTACAGAGTTACACACTTGCTTTAGACTTATTTAAATTCAGAGTTCACAGAAATTTGATTTTTCAAATACCTCATACATACTCAAAATGCTCCCATGCTAAATATAATTTTCTTCCATTGTAATGTGCAACAAATGTGCCAAAATAAAATAATAGGAATACTTTATGACATTAAATTGGTCACATTTCTGTCTTCATATCGGTACTTTACACGGCCAATAACACATATTAAAGCAACTTAATATTGTTGAACACAAACACATTTATTATACAAAACGAATGTAATTAGCATAATTAGATTCCTCCTGGTTGGACTTCGCCACGGGTATTTTCCACAATCCAGTCAGTGAATGCGGAAGTTTTAGCGTAAACTGATGGAGCATTGTGTCCCCCACATGGAACCAACACCCACGATACGACTCCGACAACCAAACCGTCGTTAAAAAGTGGACCACCACTGTCTCCATTGCAAGCTGACTCTCCTCCAAATTGAATTCCAGAGCACACATTTAGCTCCACACTAAACGGGTTTCGGGTTCCCAAGAAGCCAGTTAATATTTCATCGCATTCTAAACATTACAGGATTTGGAATTAGAAAATTGATTAATTACTTTAATTGCGGTTGGTACCTCGTTCTGGAACAATAGGAAGATTAGCAAATTGAAGACGGTCGGGAATAGATCCTCCAGTTCGGATCAGACCCCAACCAGATAAAATTGCTTCTCCTCTAGCTTCGTACCCTCTGGGTGGTATAGGAAGGGCCTGCACACTTATTCCGTAGACAAGACTCGAAGCCAAGCGAACTAAGGAAACATCATTTGGCGCTACTATGTTGTTTCTATAAGAGATAGTTCATTACGAAAAATCCTATAAAATGTTGATTTTTATAAAATATTATTGGTCTGCATTATTGTATCTAGAAACTTGATAGTTTAGTTAAATATCTAACAGCTTACCCTGGATAGAGAGCATGATTGATGACTTGAGCAACAGCTACTGTTTGTTGACCAAGAACACCGCTGTCAGATTGCAAAAGAATGCCGGCTGCCACGCGGTAAGTGTAACCATTTGGTGTACAATGAGCAGCACTTAGAACCCAACTGAAAAAAATAAAATAATTTAAAACTTTAGATGCAATCTAGTTTATAAATGTTTCCCTCAAATGGAAAAAAAATATATATCTTAAATATGTCCTACTCCCAAGAAAATAGAACTTTCAAAACATGAGACTTCCAAGACGATTCGCAGACGATCAATTACTTGTCGCACAAGACTATAAGAACCTGCACCACATAAACCGAAGAATACAAAAATGGGGATTATAATCGAGCATCGGTCAAGCTCACAAGTATATGGCCCCAGCATATCGCATGATGGATCATTGGATGAAGAAACCAAAGAAATAAACACTCCAGGAATGAGAACAGTTGGTTCATGAAATAAGGTGCTGTAAAATAAATCCATAAATCAAGTTATTAAGAAAATAATTTATAATGTCCTGATGTAAATCATAAGAACTTGGGGCTCACAGGTGCAACCCATTTAAAAAATAAACAGGAAAACTATTGAAAGGAATGGAGGAGGGGGAAGACTGGGGGAATGACGACATGCTAGAATAGTAGAATCAAAGAAGAGGTAAAAAAGACCCAATTAAAAGGTAAATTCGGTGAACAACAGAGATAGGATATCGAGTACTTATCGGAAGATGTATTGGTTAACCGATACAACAAATCCATTTTTATTTCTATTACTGCTAAATAGACAGGGTGGGGCAACCAAGACGGAATTAAAAATAACTATTGGAACATCGATATTGCCGCCATTCATTAAAATTATTTTTATTACACAGGGTGTTTCCAAAAACCCTTTGCATGTCACACTTACGTTTTTTTTAATGGAACAATTTGATTTAAGAGAGCAAAATCACATTTTTGCAAGAATTAACATCATGCAACTTCCTTACGAAAACATTTTTTGGATAGATATGAAGAAACAGAAAATTAGACATTTAAAAACGATCAATAATTAAAGACAATTAACTCACGTTATTACTAACAGTCCAAGAAGATCCCCAGATCAACACAAAAGACATCGAAAGGATGACTTGCATTGAAATAATCCGTATCAGACAGATTTTGAAGAAGCACAATAATGACGAATTTCATATAGAATTGCATCGGAAACTTGATGATTATTATATGATGTAATTATGGACTGCAAAATAATATTTTGATTTTGTTTTTGAACAAAATTTGGAATTCAAATTAACAAAGTGCTATTTTTCGATAAGGCTACATTTAAAAGTTCCCATTATTATTGCCACTGGATACGCTAGATTAATAATAATAATAATAATAATAATAAACGAATAATTATATGTACATTTCCTGCGAAACCACCTGCCAATGCTGCTTCAACACCTAACTTTAGCTGCAAAAATGTCACTTTCGTTTCAATACTTCGATCATTGAAAGATAAATTGTTGGCGTGAACGTGGTTGTGCAAATGAATGGCCACCTATATTACGTGACTTAACCCTGATAATTTTTTTCCTATGAGGTCTTGTTAAAGCTAAAGTTTAGTAGCTAAAGCTAAAGTTACAATCAGCATTAGCTCAAGATATGAAACCCAGAATAATGCACAGTTTTCGAAATATTTCAGTAAAAACTTTAGAAAAGGTAAATATTTCTTTTACGCATTGATGTGACTCTTGAACACCAATGTCTTCCAACCCTACGATATTGCGACGAATAAAGTGACATTCTTAAAGCTAGACTTTGAGAAGATGCTTGCTAGATGTTGAAGCTGCAGATAGTTCCGCAGAAAATGTAGATATAATTCTCTTGTTAAAAGTTCTTCAAAGAATTTGGAGCCTAGTAATTCCAGTGTATTCAATGGGAGCAATAATGCATATTGTGGCGGCCATTATTTTTAAATGAAGCCTCATCAAATAACACCACTGGATCATTTCAAATCTAGTTCAAACTCCAAACCGAAAAAATACATTGCCGTGTATAATCGTGGTCACAAAGGTGCCGACACAATTCCATATGAAATCAGTGATATTTGCGCTTCTTCAAAATTCGTTTGATACTGTTTCTTTTATTGATATTCGTTTTATTGATGTATATTGCACTGATGTGGGGTCCTTTTGGACTTCTAGTAATAATGTGAGTTCATTCATTGCTTTCACTTGATACCGTTTCATTAATTACTGATCGTTTCTTAAATGCGAAAATTCCTGTTTCTTCAATTCTTTCCAATACAATTTTTAATGCTTTAACTCTTGATTTTCTTTCAGAATTTCTGTTCGGTGGTTTTGTGAAACTAAATTGTTTACCTGACCGGTTCATTAATTTGTTGGCTTAATTGTTGCGTAATGGCGCTGCTTCTTGTAAAGATTTGTGTTGATAATTTAGCAGCCTCTGAGAGATTGTTGAAAGGCGTGTAAGACAGCATGGCGATGTTCCGTTAAAAACAAGTTTCAACGTTTGTCACGTATTTTTGAAAACATCCAAAAATCCACATTTGCGTAACGAAAGTAGCAATAGCAGAGTGCCAATATCGCATAAAAAAAATTGCACACTAGCCATAATCTTCCAATCCGTCTTGGTTGCACTACCCGGTATGTGTTATATAGTTCCTAATAAAAATGGCATAGTTATATACGTACTTTGGAGAAAGTATAGTTCCACCACAAATGTGATAATATGCGATAAGTCGCAGACGTTGTAGAGAAACTTGGTATGGGAATTGGTTTCTTTCGGCATTAAGTCCTCCGACTACTCGCAGGTTGGTACTGACATTTACTGGTGCAGCGGGGAAATATACTGCTTCGTAGACCGTGGTATCGGCATTGGCTAAAGAAAACGTGATGAGAGATCTCAAATGAGATAGCAATAGATACATAAAATAAGATAATTGAAGCATGCAAAAATATGCAGCTATCCGCTATCAAGCAAGTTCACTACTCAATCTGTTAAAATGTGTCTTTTTGTATTCTGACTTTCTTACTAATATTAATTTAAAAATCCTTCATTTGCTTACTTTTTGCTTCAACAACTTCTACTATCATGAGTTTGTTTCGATTTACGATTACTTTATTATATGTTACTTTAATTTTAGACAATCATGCGAAAATTCTTCGCGTTAGAGTGCATAATAATATATTTGTTCTTACCAGATACTGCTGCTACCAATGCGATCAAAATTAGCGAAAACTTCATTTTTAATTTACCGGGAAAGTTTTCATCTTGCATGTATTAAATATCATTTATATAACAGCTATAATCAGAAAGGTTTCCTAATCCGGCTTATCAAAAATAATTAATTCGCAAAGTGGTAAATTTCTATACAATTAGAGTTAAATTATCATTTAAACAATTTTGGCACGTAACTATTAGGTATGTATGTATTAAAGAAAGCATACATTTGCAAATACCTGCTATGATTAATGATCATCCATCAAATTTTGGAATTGTATGTGACGTAGAAGATTACACTTTCTTTTATCAGTCTTAATAAGTAGTCGAGACTTTGTAAGTATTTAGATAGCAAAACGTCACAGATCAACATTTTTTCCTGGACATCTTGATCTTCAATGGTGGATTTAAACGTGTTAATCACTCAGTTCAAAAATACAAGAATGGAACTCATCAAGTAATGCGACACTTATTTTCACTTTAATTGAATTAAGCGGTCTGGAAATACCAACATATTCAAGGTAGATTCAAAGAAATTGAATAAACATTTACACAAGCTATAAAACAAAGCTGCGAGAAGAGTGAATACCTAAGAGGAACTAACAGTTAATAAATTGTGTTGCAGAAATGTAACATTTCAATTAAATTTTTGCAAAACCTTTTTCTTAGGTATTTTGCCTCAACTTTGTGTCTTTTGAAGAGACAGATTCCTCTTATTTCACAAAAAGAATGCATTCTTTATCAAAAAGTAACGAAAAGCTATCACCTAGAGAGTATTCTACTACACACTTAGGCTCAAGCTCTAAGGAAAACACTCTAATTAGCAAAGAAAATAATCTAGAAAAGCTACGCATCGAAATAGACCAAAGCTAGCAAATTATTTTTCTCAATATACCTACAGATGGATAAAAGTTTAAACAATTTCCAATCTTCGGTATGTAGAAACCATACTCATACCATAGATATTCGAACTTTAATGAAACTCGCCCTATAATGGTAGAAAATGCCATTGTAACTAGTTTATATGATAGAGAGAAAATAATTTGTAATTAATCTAAATTTCCAAGTGAAAAATAGTTCATAACAGAAATTCCATTATTTATCCAAATTCATTTATTGGCAAATGTTTTAATGAAATTTAAATTGAAGGCCGAAAATTGAAGCCAAATCAAAATACGTTTTTATTCCATTTATCCATTATTAAAATTTCAAAAAGAAAGCCTCTTGACAAAATTTTAATTGTATGTAATTTTTAATTCACCGGTTCCATAGATGAAAGCCACCATGTATAATTATTTAAGTATAATTTACATTTTACAGTGGCTGCTAGATCATGGTGAAATTATTAGATAAATTGTATGAAATTCTGTAAAATATAAAGTTACTAAAATGTTCGTATATAATTGACATTTTTTAAGAAACTTTTTTGCAAAAAGGAAACCACTCTGTTCTCGTTTTAGAGCCCTTAAAGTGACTTAAATAAGTATAGCCGAAACGTCGACCCAAGGAAAATAGTGTTTTATTTTCTACCGGTATCTATTGACCGATAAACACAAGTATTAACAAATCACATCAATTGAAATGAATGTTAAATTTTTGGTGGTTTTGGTGATAACATCAATTATTATTTTTTTGTTTTGTTTCAATAAAACAAGGACGTTTTTATTAAATTGTTGTTCCAAATAAATAATTTCCACATGTATTGTAGAAGAAGGATGATAGTGTGAGATGGTGATATCTTTGTAGCAGTTTTGCTCTGCGGAAGAACTGAAAGGAAATGATGTTGTAAGTGTGTAGTCAAAGCTGTGAGAAGCGCCAATAGTTGTTTTCCAGTAGAATTCTGATTAGGAGATGTAGATATTTTGGGGTAGACATTATGGAGTTGTAATGTGTATAAAAGTTCTTTGCCCCTTACACTGTCAATAAGCCTTATTCATGTCTATGCAAATTAATAATTTAGCAAGTACAGTATTGTTACCTGTTATATGTAATCTTTAATGCTTCCATGGACCTCGCCACATCGTTGCAGGTATTATCTAGGTATCTGCCATTCAAATACACTTCACTTTATATGCAGCTTATGTCAGCGTCAGTTACATGGAACCTTAGAAAATGTTTCAGTTCATTGTCTCTAAGTCTAAGTCTATCATTGTATGTGTAGTCAGTCATAAAGCGTACATGGTTTAACTATAAACCCATTTTAAGGTAAATAGAGTTCTAATCAATGGTGCCAAAAATGCATCTACTTCGCCTCAAAAGGCGGAACCAGAAAAGAAAGTGCCAAAATTCAAAAAGTTTAAGATATATCGATACAACCCTGAAAGCACTGAACGTGGTAAGAAGCCATACATGCAGGAATACACAGTTGATGTAAGCAAGTAAGTATCAAATTTATAATTCACTGCGCCAATATTCGATATCGATATCGATGTTCAATTTACTAATCTTGCTGTTACCGTGTGGCAAGTACATACGGGAAAAATTCAGTAGAAACTCGCCAGAATTCAGGAGTGAAAGATCTGAGAAGGTGGTTTGACCGCTCATCCACATCAATATTTCGTGCTGCTTTATTTCCAACCCGACAGTTCTGGTGTTGGCCTGCTACCAATAGAACGATCAACGCTACAATTGTCCGTTTTTCGAATTTCTAAAGGTTTTTGTTCAACAGAGCTTCCTTCTTTTTCCTTCCGGAAAACCTTTTTCTGGCTATTGTCCCTCTTAAAATATAGCTTCATTTTACATTGGTTTGGAAGGCTTAATAGGCAAAGTTCTACATACGGAAAAAGTCCAGGTGATAGTCGGCAGGATAGCCGACAATATTTTATTCATGTATGTGTGTTCCATAGGTATGCAACACCTCAGCAACCAAACTATTAAGTTTCAATGGTTTCCTACTACTCAATGGATTAGTATTACTATTGAACATGTTTCTCTTTTAACTGCCAATAATCACTTTGCATTTTTAGCTGTGGGCCAATGGTGCTTCATGCATTGGAAAAAATAAAAATGGAACAAGATAGTTCCCTCACATTTCGAAGATCTTGCAGAGAAGGAATTTGTGGTTCTTGTGGTATGAATATTAACGGAGTAAATAAGCTGGCATGTTTAGAGTGAGTACCTTCCTCAAAAATGTTTTACTTCTAAGGACTAAAGCCAAATAAATATAAATATTTCTTAATCGAAATTTACATGTAAAAAACGCAGGTATTTTGGTCATGTTAATTCACATTTTGTGACTCGTTTGACCAGGTTTTTGTTCTAACTTTTAAGCCAGTTTTATTCAAATCTACTTCTTTTCTTCATCGACTTGTATTTTCGCTTTTGTAGAAAATGCATCGGTTTAAGTAAATTAATGTATTTTTTCAAACATAGTGATATAAAAGTGTACAGTTTCTTAAACGAACAGTATGTCTGTATTAAATGCAGTAAATGTATTCGAAATTGCGACTGAAGTTGCTATACTTTACTGCATGCTATGTTTCTTTATTCTACCGGAAAAAAATCTTTTCTTTTATCATTTTTTCGATTGTTCTTTCTTACCGTATATTGTTAACATACTCTCTGGTACAGCTTTTTCCATCTAATTCTTATCTTAGGTGCCCATTTTCAGGCGATTCACCTAGCCGATTCAACTACTGTGGTAGAAGTGTTCCGCCACAGTAGTCAACGCACTTTACTTTCTGATTCGCGTTGTTTAATATTCATTTCAGAAAAATTAGTACATCGACAAAAACCAAAATATACCCACTTCCTCATATGTATGTGGTTAAAGATCTAGTGGTGGATTTTACGCGATTTTTGGAACAGCACAAGAGGATAAAGCCATACTTGATTCGAAAAGATGACAAGTTTGATGAAGGAGAAGAGTATTATCTACAAAGTATCAAAGATCGTGATAAATTAGTAAAATGAACACCCGCTTTTTGCAATGAATGAAATAACAATGTATATTGATTTAGGATGGGTATGTGGAATGCATTCTGTGCGCTTGTTGCTCCACTTCTTGTCCAGAATATTGGTGGCACGGACATGCAAAAGCGCCTAATGACTTTTTAGGACCTTCAGCTTTACTGAATGCTTACAGATGGATTATAGATTCGAGAGACCAAAACACTAAAAGTAGATTGGATGAACTAAAAAATTATTATTCCGTTTACCGCTGTCATCAAATTAATAATTGCACAAGTTGCTGTCCAAAAGTGAGTAAATGCGATAGATACCTAATAGTTTAAAAAATAAATTTAAAAATGTTTAATTCTCAAGCAAGTTGACAACAAACTTAAAATTCTGAAAAAGTAAAAAAGTACTAAACTTTTCACACTTATCAGCGACATTTGTATTATTTCAGAATTTAAAGCCTGGGTTAGCAATATCCAAGCTTCGTTTACTATTGGCAGGTTGTTCAAAGAAAGGAAAACCAGAAATGGAAGGAGTTATCAAATCTGATCCAACAAAAGGAGCAAAACATCCATGCTAAATACCTTTTTGCAAAATCATGTTTAATAAAATTTATTTATTACATCATTTACGACTACTTTCTAAAGCGATAATTGAATTGGGTTCAATGGTATCTCTAAAAGTGGATTCTAAATCCAGATATTTATTAAAAGCGCACCAGTCTATGAGCTTTCCTGCTTCCGGTTGTGGCTCAGAACCCCACCATAAATCGTTCTAAAATAAAATTAATTTTGGTATATGTTACACAGAGTGATTGGAGGAAAATTGGCGTCATTCGTTTAGACGAGTTGTATGGGCTTACTTATGTCTGTTTCTTCCCTGAAGATATTGGTTCTTGCGGATGGAATTTCAACTTTGCTATTATTCAATAATCTATTTAAAATAATTATGCGATTTGGGTAATAGTATAGATACACATTTCAAATAAAACATTGCAAAAACCTTTAAAAAACGTTTAAATTAGGTTCATGCATCCGTCCATCAATCATGCATCCAGTCAGATTTTAATTTTAAATAGCTTGGGGTTCCCTACTTTAAATCGGTCAAATCTCCAGTAAAATGCATAAACTAATAGTCGTTGTCGAAAGAAGAGAAAAAAGTGCAGCAATTAAATTGTTGAATTTTGAAGTATCACTATTCAATTATATCAAGTATTAGTTGAATAGAAGCATATTCCTATAGTTCTATAAAATGTGTATATGTTCGCACTAAGCCGTTAGTTTAATTTAAGTTAAAATAATGCCATTAGATGCAAAGGTTAATATTCACCCTGAGGAGGTTTTGTCGTGTTTTTGTAGTTCTGTGATAAATTACGGATAAACCAGTCACGTAATATCCGTATGCATGGAAATACATGTATTTACATCTTTTCTTTGGTAACTCAAGTGAAAAACTAAAGCTTGAAATATTGAATGGTCCTCACCTGATTAAGCAACAAATTTATAGCTGAGGAAAATAATCTCTTTTTAATTATTTTATTTCTAGTTTTTCCTTATACCTTGTTGGTTTGAGTATAAACTAGCAATCAACGTAATCACATTATTGTCACCTTTGTGGTTTAGTTTTTTTGAAAATATGTTTATAGTAATAACTTAAATTTTTTATATTTCAAATTTACTCCCTGGATAACACATCCAGAGGAATGGAGCCAATCTTGAATCACCCGGTATAAATTAATACTAATAGACATATTTGCAAGTGGATTACCTTGACATTAGTGGGTGGTTCGTCTGGGGGAGCGCAGATTGACCGGTCCAAAAATTGCAAAATTTCTTCGTAGTTCAAGTTGCAGTCGTCATCTTTCTTTATGCTAGAGTGAAAAAATGCAATCTTTGATGTTCTGATATGTATCTTATAAAAAGTGCTGGTTTTTGCTACTACAACAGAAGCATAAATATAGACCGGATACCTCTAAGCAGTTTCGAAATTTTTCCCCTGTTATTTTTATTTACAGGGTGACCAAGAAAAAACTTTTTGGTCTTGCTCTGAACTCTTGTCTTGCTAGACCGATTGTCAACATCTATAGCTCATGTTGAAGCTGAAACTTCATAAACAACTTGATACCAGAATTTAACATAGACCGATATCACATCGAAAATTGACAATGATTTTGATGCATATGCATTAAAAGTTACCCATATTCAAACTGCCCAGAGTCTACTAACAGACTTTCAGAGTGAAGTTTATTTTCAAACAATCTGTTCACCCACCCATATACGGAATTTTTGCCTTAACTTGGCTATAAAGAAAATGTTATCACTGCAAGGTCATAAATCTTAATTTTTTTCCACCTTCCGGTAAATAAACAAGACAGGAAAAATTCAAAAACAGTTTCGAGATATCAGGTCTATTTTTATGCTTTTGGTGTTGAAAATCAACAAAATACTTTTCTGTTCGACTGGAAGCAAGGCAAATTTTTAGAAATGCTGCATTGCTTCATTTTCCACCCTTTAGAAGCTTTCTCCGAAGTTGCAAAATTTTTCAAAAAACACCCATTAATAAAAAAACACTTAAACTAGATAACGCTTTAAACCGAAGCAAAATAGCTTGAAACAATCAGATGTTATCCAGTTCCGAAGTCAGAACAAATTTGGCGGGTTAACTTTTATTCTCGTGAGCAACTTATTTGCAGTAATAATCAGGAACAGAATATTAGTCAAAAATCAAATGAAACAATTACTAAACCATTATTGTTTTGTTTAAGAAACCTACTCACACTTCCAGTATTTTTTCTAGTAGCTCATTATCAAATGGCAATCTGGCTCCTTTGAGTACCGTGTAACATTCCTTTTTGGAGAGTTTTCCACTTTTGGAATGATCCGTTTGCAAGAAATACTCGCGAAGACGTTCTAGATCATCCCACAAAAACCGTTTTAGTTCCGTTAAAGCAATCGCTCTAAAAATAGTTACTATTTCCAATAAATTGCAATGCTCCTAAATAACGTTCGTAAACTACATGCCTTATTTTCATTCGATCATATCTTGGATTGTAACAACTTGCACTGAATCCTCTAGCTATAGTAATCATTTCGTGTTCAGTAAAGTCTTGGCCCATTATTCTGCATAGTTTTTCTCTCAATTTTGAATAGCTGATAACAGATGTTTCTTTTGGTATATTTTCTGCTACGAAATCCTTATAAATGGGTTTCAGTTTTTCTCTGACATTATCCATAATTCTCTTCAAGTTGGCTTTGGGAAACTGCAATATTTATTAAATTAAATGTTAATTTAATTGATGTACCATTAGCAAATCAAGCATTTAGATAAATTGTAATTATTGGACAAAAGTCGTCTCACTAAAAAATATCGCACTGATGAAATTGCAAAAATTTGGTTGAAAACCTCCGTCAATAACTGGGAGCTTTTAAGAAAGAACTTCAGTTTCCCACCATTTTAAAGTCAATAGTTGAAACTGCTTTGCTCACTCGCTTTATACGTTTTTTTGCGTAAAGTGCTTAAATCGAATACTCATTTCCTTATCAATAGTTCAAGGCCAAGCACAAATGCACTAAATCTAATTTATAACCAGGCAAACTGAGAGACATTTAATCAAAATATTAATGTGTGGTCTCGAAGAAGATTTAGACCTAAATATTTACATTAAACAATCTCATATAAATAGTGTCTTTTGTATACTGTTGTGGCTTGGGTAGTTGCTTTCAAACGCATGATCTACATTTAATTATTTACCAAAATAAAGTAAATCCAAACTATTGTTAAGCAAACTGATACAAATTGCATCAAAATCCAGCTTGGGAATTTTCAAAGTTTAAACTTGAAAAATAGAAACAATTAAATACCGCTGAAAAAATGTTTCTGTTTCTTGATTTGCGATCAGGACGAAAAACTGCTGAGATTGAAAATCTTGAAAAATCAAATACGAAAAACCCAGATATGTGTTCTGTACGGATTTTCGGCAAAATATTGTTCGAAATGGGCCCGAATATACAAAAGCGCCCGTTCTCGACTCGGGTACAATCTTGATTCCTTGAAGAATATACCAATTCGCAAAAAACATTTTCAAATACAAATTGTTTGTTCAATTTAAATTTTACAAAACATTATCAATCTTTAGAATTAAGTTACACCGGTGTAATAAACAATTATTAATTGTGTAGGAAAGCAGCAGTGTTAGTTCAAGTTTTACGCGTAAATTTAATAGACATTTATTTGAAAAAATACTAAATTTGATCAAACTGAAAAAATGTTTTATGCTGTTTACCTGTTTACTTTTTGGTGCCTATTGAACGGAAATGAATATCATCGATCTAGAGCACTCGTGCTTGAAGAGAAAGTACCACAAAATTTCAGAAGTTCCCATTACAATTGTTAGGTCGAAAAAAGCTCTGTTTTAAATTATAGTAAAGAAAATTTGACTCAGCTTAAGTACATGACGTTATTGATAATTTTGAACGCAATTTGATAACCACCACTGTAAATGATTTCATATTAATGAGTTTGTAATTGGAGTAGTTGGATTATTCTTTGCATGCACTATTGCGCTAAATTTCTTGAGAATAAACTCACTTTTACGTTTTCATGCTCCTTATATTCCACTCTTGATAACGAACTGTTATGAACTGAACCTCTGTTATTTATTCAAGAAATAATGGCGGACCATTGAATGGCTCCCTATATTTGCCAAAATTTGGAGCAGAAAATAATCTGGCAAGCAACAACATTTATTGGAAATTGAGGTAATCACACCCATGACAGGACAGACTTAACGATGCATCTCAATCCTCAAACGAGACAAGATGATTCTTAGAAATTCTACAAACGAGGGTCGTTTTTATGACAAAAAGAACATACAACATTTTCAGCACAGAACCTAAAGAACTTAGGGTAGGCTTAATCTACAAAAATGTTCTTTTTTGGCAAAAATGATGAACTAGTAAAGGATTTTATCATGCATTTGGTAAATAATACATATTTAGTAAATATCATCCACACGCCCTAGCAATACTGTAATAATAATAATAATAATAATAATACTAAAATAATAATCTCACCTGTCCACAATTAATTTCCATATAGCGAAGAGCATATTCGTCGGCTTCCACCAAGACAAATTTAAATCCATTGATAATTAATGTGGCCCCTATGAACATGTGTTGAGGAGTATAGGATAAAGGTGGTTTACTTGTGAATATTTTTTGCCCAGGCAGCTGAACTTCTGCTCTGGATGAAAAAGTCGAAGCGCTAAATCCTAAGCAAAATGTGAAATTCTCATGTAGTACGATTTTACTTGTTACCTACCTATCCAAAATTTTTAACTGTAAGGTATTTTCAATATGATACAGTTTCTTAGTTAACAAGTTAATTTTTTACTGGTACCTGAATTTCTTTGGCCGACTTCAAAGACAGCGAGACTATCGTCAGTGAGAAAATAACTAATTATGAAGTTTCTGGTACAGTTTTCCGGAATTTGAGAAACCATTTTTGCTTTGAATCTCAATACATGACTGTCAAGGCCAATTCTGGAAATATGAAGTGATGGTTATGCCCATAATAAGAAATCAAACCACTTGCTTCCAACCCTAAATTTTCCAAACCAAACTTCATTTTCCACTTTCCCATTCCTCATTTGCAAAATCATCTTTTATTTATTTTAAAATAGTTCAAAAATTGTATTGTTTTGATGCATAATGGTAATAGAGAACCCAACATTATTCATTTATTTATTTATTAACCCTTAACCATTCATTGAATATTATCCATCATAACATATTTAGAAGATAGATAATTATTATGAGAGGGTAAAGCATTTTGAAAGAAGATTGATATTCAAAACATATTTAAAAACCGTCGGAACCACAATCAACGATAAGTTTTGTCGTTTTAAAAGCGTTTGATGACATGTATTTAAATATTGATGAGAACATTTATTAAATAGCTTTCGTGTAAGAGTTTTTAAATAGTCGTGTAAATAAATGGTAATTTAGATAAAAGAACATATTTTTTAAACTCGGCATCTCAAATTTATTACTTTTTACATTTCGTTTTTTTATAATAAACTGCAATTTTACATGTGGAATATGTGGAATCTACCTCCGACTTTTTTTTCGTTTAGTCTTTTTCGACGTATTTGAAAAATTGAGTTGAGTTAATTTGAAAATTAAGTTTTGCGAATATAATAAATTCAAATTGTTAACTAAGAAACTTTGGATAAACTGGTGAGTTCTTCGGGTTTTTAAGACGACATGAAACAAAAGTTACCTACTCTATATATCTTCTGTAATTTCTATTGTGATTCCTTAAATCACAAAAATTTGCTTATAAAAAATTTATCAATTTTCTTTGTCAGTTTATTTCTGGAAGCACTTGACTCTTGAAAATGCAATTTCAACTTTTAAATTAAGCATTATTTTATATTAGTTTTGGGGTCATTTGGCATACTATCAGCACTGAGCTTGAATACATATTTAAGAAATGAAAATGAATGAAAAGAGATCGAGAGCTAAAATAATGAATTCTCCTCGATGAAATATGACAGTAAATAATGTAGGTGAGACTTGGCCAGAAATACCTATCGTATGATAAAAACTTTTTAAAGTTCTTATGGGGAGCTTTCGGCTCCACCGTAATACAGTTTTGTGCAGAATCCTCATAAGACCCAAACCCATTCCAAGGAGGGAGATCCCGTTCCTTTGGCTTAGCTATAAAAACGGTTTCCTTGTTCCTCGCTGGTTCTGATATGGGAGTAAATTCACTAATTCCATATTTTGTTGCATAGTACTCTTTTGTAAAAGCGTCGCAATCGGTCAGAACCAGTTTTCGTCCATAACAATTTATAACACCTGCAACATAATGTATTTTGTACTTTACTCTGGAAGAAAATTGAAAGACTCATTTTATTAAAGCCAGCAACCACACATTTTAAGCAGCAATAAGAGCCACGAAATCCATACTTCTTCAAAATAGTTACTCCTAGTCTGACTCACCTCCTATACTTAAATCTCTTTCATCGTAATACTGAATATTTTCCCTTCCGCAGTCCAGAGGATCCACAATATATCGTCGATTACTCAGGGCTGATCCAAGTACGTTCAGAATTGTATAGTTTGCATTACCACCTACTGCAGGTAGTTCCTTGTATCTAAAGTCCTCTTATAGTTCTATTCAAAATTAACTAAACTCGCGAATTATCACACCTTTTAGGAAGTTTAGCTCTTCTCAGAAATAGAAACCCTGGTTCTCCACCACTTTCCGATTGAAGCTCCTTAATTTCAATCGTATCATCTGCCAAATAATATCTCAGCTCAAGGTAGTGCAAATACCCATACTCAGTATTTTGATCGTCCCAATATGCTTTGAAGTGCAGCACCTTTAATGTTGATATAAATTTCCTGTATATGTAAACTACAAAACATAGGGTTTAAAGTGAATGTCTGTCGGGTCAAGTTATACTGTTGAAGTGATTGCAAAATCGGAATTGATGAATACTAATTGAACTTAGATGTTCAACTGTGATCGTCTGAGGTCCGTTTTCAGCAAGCAGCAGAAAATATGATAAACTCGAATCATTTTCTGCATGGTACATTTTCTGTCGCAAAAATATAAATCGATTGCTAAGAATTTTGGTAATAATCTTAGTGGTGTGCTGTCGAATTCTAAAATATTTCAATCATAAATTTCAAAAATACTATCGCCGGCGAGATACAGGCTGGTGAAATGGCCGAAATATTAATGGTGCCATTTATAATTTATAATGTTCAGAGTGGTGTTGTGAGAGAGTGTTTCTGATCTTGTGCCCGGGAAACCACGGAAATCACGGAAAAACTGCCAAAAAGCTTTTGGTCGGTACCACAAATGGTGCAGTGAACAAAAGCTACTCAACTTAACAAGCGAGAAAGGATTATTAGTATGTATTAACAAAACAAACAAAAGACATAAACCCTCATCCCTTGGGTGCTCGATCTTCTTTGTGTGTGTATCTTTCGTTAACTGCACCATTTCTGGTACCGATCAAAAGCTTCATGGTATTTATTTCTTCCGACATTTGTCTGGCCCAAGATCTGAAACAACATTAAACGCTTCGTTCTCAATGTCAGAAGGCAGATCATAATTTGAACTTTAAAAATATGCAATTTTAAGACACGTTTAACACAAAGCAAATATTCCCTACTTTTGACTAAATATTTTAAGAGTGAAAATAACTTTATCCTTAGGACAATAAAAACTTTAACAACTTAATTGACAGAGAACAGAGAGTGACAATATAAATACAACCATCGTGTAATGAAATTTTAAAGAACAACAATTAAAGTAAGTTTCGAGAGGAAAGTGTGACCGATCATCAAAGAAATGAAAATGAAGGCAGACAGAAGACATGACATGGTAGGCTTTTTCTCTTTGGCTTTGGCTCTACTTTGACGAAGAAAACATGAAACATTTTTTTTATCTTATAACCTATTTTTTGACTAGGAATAGAACTACAATTCCATAGAAAAATTATTCAAATCGGATCACCGGCTGAGAAAATATTCACAGTCAAACGTTAGGAAATGTTTAGGATATGCGTTAAATTTGCGACACAGTGCATATCAAAACACAGAGAGAAAAACATCCCAGCTTACAACACAAGAAAAATACTGCAACTCATAGAGGTAAATTAAAAGATACGACTGTCCAAAAAAGATCATTTGCGTCAGACTACTATTGATTCATAAATTCCTCACTATGCAGATACGTATAATGGCTAGCAAATTCCCCAAAATCGATTTAAAAAGCCCTTAAAA